TTCTACTTCTTCTGAACTGTTTACAGGAACTTGCATATTCAATTCTATTGGCAAGTTCTATGTTTTTCTTCATGAACCGAAACGGATGAAGGAATGGCGTCATTGCGATATTCATGTGAGATAACATTCATTACATTGTTAACGACCTTGCAGCAAAAGGAATATTCCTCACACAACTCTTAGATGTTACATGATGGAACCAGACCTCGTGTAGGTTCATAGTGCTCGAGTTTGTAGACACCGGGGACAACGGAAGCTGGCGGACGATGCTTTAATAATGCAGAAAATATATTTTAGTATACACCCTATATAAGCCTGTAGCGGTTCTACAGCCCACGTCCTTAAAACTCGAGACGTCACTGACGTGTTCTCGCAGGGTAAATCTTGGTCACCCAGTCACGCCTTTCCCAGCGCGATGGCGCATGTCCGCACCGACGCTCGACTTTTGCCCTCGCATGACCAGGGCACATAGACGCGCCCCAAACTGGTCGACCAATCGGTGTCCTGAAGCACTTTGGGTCAATCAGCACCGGGAAGCGTTCTCTGGTCCTCAGTCAATTTCTGCACCGACGGACACTTGGGAATCCGTCTGAGCTGGACGCCCGCTCACTCGCCCTCACGGCCGGACCGAGTGGCAACTTCCTCCTAACTCTTCTGTACACAATATATTGTTCCTACTACTCTGGCCTTCCCAAGACTCCTGTATTCTCCTAAGGAACGGGGCCTGGAAGATCGTAGCTGTTAGAGTTAACCGCCTTAGCCTTAACACCTATAAGCCATTGTGTCATACACCCATTATATACTACCTGGGCACAGCCTACATTCGACCACGATCTTACAAAAGAGGACAGCATTTCGGATACGAAATCTCACAACCTGGGTCTGTGATCTACTACACCTGTTATGTATTATCTGGTCATGGCGTAAGCGTCACCAGGATTTGTGCATACCATTATGAGTGCTACATAGATCTCGCATGCAGCTAAGAAGCCACATGGAGAAAGCCAGATAACACATCTCTCACTTAGGTACGACATGCCAACGTTGACTGTTGATATTGAATTGCCTGTGTGATGCGTCCATTAATGGTGAGACTGTCTGAAATCCTCTCCTGCAACTCAGCTTCAGTATTATGTAGAGGCAACTGAGATGGGTGGTTCAGCTTCCATGTTAACTGAAGTAGACTGTCCAAGTTTCTTCTCCGTACACAAGCGCCGTCAAAATGACAGTCTTGTACATCTTCGGTTTGTTGTTCAGGCGTAGGACTTGATAATTCCACACGGAGGCTTGCAACTGATCGAAAGTCTGACTGGCTTTTCTGTTCCAAATTGCACACACAGCACTGTTTCACTCTGTCGCTGTCGGTGAATGTTTCGGAAATAGTCCGTTGTCAGTGACGCTGCCATCATCCAGTCGTAGAGCTTACTCATCATGTGCGTGAACTGCACAGGCTGGCCAAGTTTCCGCACAAGTTTCTACAGCCCACCACGATTCACACTATGAAAGGCTTTCATCGGATCAAAGAAGGTCGCGTAGATGTGGGTTCGTATTTTCTAGCACTTATCATGTAGATGACAAGGGCGAAAATCACGTATGCTGTTCCGCTGTCTCCTCAGAAGCCCTATTGGCTT